TTTATTAGAGTACACAATATTTTGGTGAACACAATACCACCACACTGGGGGGCTAACATGAACACACATTGGGTTTCTCATACTCATGGGCAGTAGAAGTCGACGATGAAGTTACAGTTTCCTCCGTGGCCCCTCCTTGGTCTTTGGATGGCTGCCACCATCTCCGTGTATCTTTACACGGTGTCCCCACCGTCCCCATCTCTCTTTCCCTTTCCTGTCTTCGTGTTCCTCTCTTACTCTTTCACCCTTCCACCTCACCCCCTTTCACACAATTTGTGAGGTTTAATTATCGAGACTTACCACTATTACTGTTGTTTGAGACAGGGGATCAAGGTTGACCTTGAATGACTTCTGGCATTATCTGTGTCTTCAAATGGGTCACTATCTTTACCCTTCCTAGCCAAAGTGCAAAGGCATCTCTAAAACAGCCATAACGAAGTTGAATTGTCCAGTATTGCATTTAAAAATGAAACCAAGGCCTGTGAGATAGCTCAACAGCTATGAACACTTGCTGCCAAGCCTGGTAACCGGAACTCAAGCTCAGGAACACACCTGGCAGGAGAAAAGTGAGACTCCGCCCACCTGGATATGCATACCCACCCTATAACACAAAACTCTCCTACACAAAGCAAGGGGTCCTCAAAAGTACACCATCCCTTCAGGATCAGTTGATTCTCTTGCTGTAGGGTCGTTCTTCACTTGATTTCTCTAGGCTTCTAACAGTTAGAATTCTGCTATGCCAGAAAAGCATTTCTGTGTGGAAAAAGAGAAAAAAAAAATCGTTCTTAGTATACGGTTTGGGTCCAGTCTTGGCCAAATCTTTTCAGTTCCTGGGCAACCTGTCACCTGCAATGTATTTAGTGGTCAGTGAACTTCCTGTAATCACATGCAAAATGTTTGTCCTTACTCACATTTCTTTGAAGAAGGTCACAGCTTTCAGCAGATTACCAATGGAACCCCTGACCCAAACAAATGTAGTACAACATGAAGTTCACTGTCACCCCCCATACTGTCTGTGCACCTGCTCCCAGGATCTCACCTTCCTGTTTCCTTGGAGACTTCAATACTCCATTCTCCCCAGCATGTTGTGCTAATGATTTCCTTACTTTTAATGACTGTGTGGGTGTGTTTTCTCTCACTAATGTAGCCAGTCTCAAAACCCGATACTGTTGCCCTGGCTTGAAGGTAGTTCTAGTAGCTCTCTCCACAATGTCCTCATTCTGGTTTATTTAAACGGTCCCTGGGTTTTAAGTAAACCCTGCTAGTTTCAGACTGCAACATGGAGGCCTTAGAGCAGACTTTTTTTCCCCAGTATGTTTTGCCATAGAAAATATTAAAACAAAACAAAACAAACCCACAAGCTATGTTCTTGTCAGAAAATGAACTATTTGTCTC